AAGCTAAAATTTAAGTATGGGTAGCAAGGTACTGTGCAAGCTACAGGTTGTGAAAAACACTGAGGCAGGTCCTTTGATTTTCCTGTCTGAGGTACTCCCCTATGGTTTCTGCATCTCCACCCACAGATGCTGGATAGAAGCAAAAAAAAGGCTAAAAGCTGAAACTCCATGTCAGGGACTAGGTATCTTGTGCTCCAGTCATTTTCAGTCCTGCAGCTCTTTGGAATGACAACATCAGGACACAGGACATCCCTCTGGCTGTCCTGAGCAGCCAAGACCCCTACCAGGGGGCTCAGAGACCCTGGCACAGAGCCCAAAATGCCTGTGGTTTTGATTATGACCTGTGGAGCAAATTACCAACCTTAGATGAAGATCTGCAAGCCATGAAAAATTAAGTAGAATGATAGTGAATTTATCATGGGGTGAAAAAGTCGATTTTGAGGTTTTTAGAATGGAGGTTCAGGAGGCAAGATGGAGGCATCTGGGCGTGTCCAGCCTTTCTCCTTCTCCTTCTTGGCCTCCATCTTCTGCTGTGATGTTGGCACTTTTAGATTGGTTTAGAGATAGAAGCTCACTGTCTAACATAGGTGATGGGTACTGGAAAGTAATTGTAAACATTGTATACGAAGTTTTGAGTATAAAGACATAACACTGCCCCGGGGACAGGCAGAGCGCCTCTGACTGTCTTGCTGAGCGGACCTTGGCAGGACAGGAGAAAGAATTTTATAGATAAGATACAATAAACAACCTTGAGACCGAGATATGAAGAGCTCTGACTCCTTCTTCAAGTACCAGCCTGGGAAAAGAGACTTTCCAACTTTTCTCAGGGTCACTCTGACAAGCTAGAGATCCCAACATGACAATAGCATTTTATAATTTCTAATGGCCTCTCAGCTACAAGCAGCTCTAGAAGACATCAGCTGGGTTGCAGTTGTCACCAACATGCCCCTACATGAGTAAGAATGAAAGGTAAAAAATTCCATCATTTTTATTCCTTAGTTACTATTTATTCCAATCCCTGTGCTCAGAGGGAGAGTTGCTCAGACAGGGCTATATTTTATGGCTTTTACAAAGCTTTGGCCTGCTTTGTCTTTGAAGAGAAAGTCAAAACTCAGGAACAAGCAGTGTGGGAAGAGTTAGGCTCACACACCATGCTGTCTTGCATCTCCCCTATCATATTCCCTGGTCTGAGATGCTTTCCCCCACTCATTTTTGGTAACTGGTGCTCAGTCCTTTTGCAGTCTCAAGCCCTGACATTTGCATGCACAGTGGGAAAGGTCACACAGGGTGGTCAGCATTGTAGTCTTGCTCAGGGAATGCTGGAGAATACCACCCTTCCTAAGAAACTGATTCAGTCACAGTAATCATACTTAAAGGGGTTTAAGTGGGAAGAGATGGAAGTAACAAAGTGTTGGAGTTGACAAAGCAGAAGGAAACTTATATGCAAGCTTCTAGAAATTACTCCAGAGCCCTAACTGCTAAATCCCAGAAGGCTGAGTCTCTATCCTGCCTTTAGTCACTGCTCTGTCTTCCAATACAGTGACTTTCATTATTATACCTGTAGAAAGAGAAGATGACATTGACCCCACTATGCACTTTGGTCCTACCCTGGCTTTTATGTCCCAAGTCCAGCCAGTGTAAGAAAACAGTCTGTGCTGGGGACGCTGCTGACCTGTGGTTGGCCCAAATAATTCGCCTAAAGGCTCTCTTTAACATTCAGTATTTTAATTCTCAGATGAGTCATCTGGGGCACTGTTTAACCATTTTCACAACTTTTAGGTCATCACACTTTCAAATCTGCCTGAAATTTTGCATCTCTGTCTAGCAATCAGCCTTCACTCTCACTTCTTCCTAACAACACTTCTAACTGGGAGAAGAGTTACAATCAAACTATCTGTTCAGTTAACAGACCCAGGCTCAATCCATCACCCTTCTGCCTGCAGTGCTGGCCCATACCTTCCCTACACCCTGCAGTCTCTGATCTGCACCACATTCCCCAGGCTGCTGCTGAGTGTAACTACTGAGAAGCCATGTGGACTGTACAGTGCAGAAGTGGAAACAGAATCCACAGTGAGGCGCACAAGGGGATCCAGAAATAAGGAGCATACATCCCACCAAAAGCCATGGGATCCATGCTCCCAGCCTATGCATGTAGTGCTGTCACCGTCATATTTTCTGAAAAATCCCTTTGCCAGGATTTCTTCTCCTGGGAAGCTGAGAAGCCTCAGAGAAAAATGAAAACAATAATTATCTGATTTGCTTCTCCTGTGTTTTGCTGCTTTGGAATGTGGTTTGGACATTGTTCACCAACTGGTCATTGTTTCATTGGTTTCATGTGAATTGTTTTAACTTAATGACCAATTACTGTCAAGTTGTGTCAGATTCTGAGGAGAGACTCACGAGTTTTTCATTAGTCTCTTTTTGCCTTCTGTCTGTATCCTTTCTGTATTCTTTAGTATAGTTTAGTATAGTATTCTTTAACATAATATAGATCACAAAATAATAAATTAGCCTTCTGAGAACATGAGTCACATTCATCATTTCCTCCCTATGACGGGAGACCCAGAAAATACCACAGAGTGTGCTGCAGGCATCAGGGCACCAGGGCCTGGATTCACACTTCTTGGACTGACCTGCAGCCAGAATTCACAAAGTGTGGCGAGCTCGGTAATTACCCAATTTATCTCTTCATTCCATCCCAGACAGGAGAGAAGTACCACGTTTTCCCTCCTCTTCAGAGCCACCTGATGCCCCTTTGGAGATGACACAGGATCCACCCCATCCCTCGTGCCTACATTAGCTGAAGTGTTGCCCTTTACAGTGCTGGGCACCTGGCCAGCCCTCCTGCAGCCAGAGGCTGGGCGTGCAAAGGGCTTGCACACAGCTCCCTTCCATTCAGCCTCTCCCAACAGCTGCTCCAGGGGTGATGGGGGCAACAAGATCCTTTTCCAGACCCCCTGGGGATAGTCTTTGCCAAGTCTATTTATTCATTGATTTAAGAAATCCAGCTGCCTGAACAAGCTACTGAGAAAAGAAGCCTGAGTTGGGACTTGGATCAGGGCAGGACTCTTTGCCACTGTGCTCAAACCTGTGCTTGCTTCATTGCAGCCCTGTCCCCACCACCATCACATGCGTGACACAGTCACAGTGCTGATTTCATCACTTCACTATACATCACACAACTTTCTGGCAGCAGAAATCCCTCCTACCAAAGTCTCAAGGCTCTGTGACAAAGGAGGCAAAGAAACAATCCTGGTCATTGCCACTTCTCACTGCAATTAGCCTGTCACATTGCCTTTCTCAGGCAGGACAGAATCCTGGATCCTCATTGGCATAATTGGGTCCCGCAAAAAATACCAGTATGGGGCAGCTTGATCTGTTTCCCCAAAGATGTCAATTTTCCATCGGTTCAGTTTTACTTTAAATTGGAATAAATCCTAAAATCTTGCTAACCCTTTCTTGTCAAGCCTTTTTTGCATTTGGCACAGAGCTGTGCTGAGACCATGCTGAGCAATTCCAAGGGAGAAGACATTTCGGAGCCCCAAACATCTTTAGCTGCAACACCGAGTGTCTTCAAAATAAAAAACATTGTGGAATCACAGCATGGTTGATGCCACACAGGACATATGAAGATTGCTTACATAAAGCTCCTTCTCAAAAGAGAGACAGCTGGAGAAATTTAACCAGAGCCTTATCCAATCATCCTTTGAACATCTCCAAAGCCATAGATACACAACCAATGCTACAAAGTTTGGCCACCATCAGCATAAAGCCATTTTTCTGTTGTTTAAATGCCTCCCCTCTCTCTATTAATATTTGTGCCTGGAAGTATAAAGAGATATAAGATCCACCCAGACTCCTCTCCAGGCTGAACATTCCCCATTCTCTCAGCCTCTGCTCATATGATTGTTTCCTTCAGTCGGCAAGAACCTCACTACTGGAGTGTTTGGCTTCAGCCTCTCATGGTTGTTCTTGGATCATTCTCAAATTAAAATAGGCCATTAGTAGGTGGTATTTTCCTCTCAGTACTCTATACCAATAATAATCAATCCATCATCTAGTCTTCCTATTTTAGTTAGTTTCACTTGTCAGTTTCTTTAAGACTTTATTACAGCCTTAAACCACAGTCCCACCATGTTTTTTCCTGAGCTGTCTCCAGTTTTCCAGCTTGCCTGTAATTGTGGCGCCATACCCAGGATTTCCCCATGATGGCTCACTCCTACTTCCCACACTGATATTTAGGCCAGCAGGAATCTTGTTAGCTGTTTTTGCTGAAGATTTGACCATCCTTACTCTCTACCCGTCCTTAGCCATGCAAGGAGCCCATTTGCCTTTTTTAACAGGACAACACAGTAAGAACTCATGTAATCTTGTGTATCCTCTGTGACTTGGCAAGTTTTTAGGGGTCCTTTTGTAGGGGTGGCTTTTATTCTTACGTGTTCCTACCTAATTATGTTTCTCCTGCCTGTAAGAAAATGTATTTTGTTTGAATACACTTTGTTTGAATAACACAAGTTATCTAGATCTCTTTGAGTAGCCTATTCTTCTTGCAACCACCCTATTCATGCTTGTGTCATCTGTAGGGTTTTACCTCCTTTGTACTTTCCTTAAAATCATGATTGGATATGTTAACCAGTACTCATTTAAAAACTGATCCCTGCAGAAACCAGACAAAATAGAGCATTCCAAGCAGACAATTATCTCTTCTGTCTATTGAAAGTTCTCAATCTACCTAATCTATATTTTATGGACTTTGCATCTTCTGAATCAATACAACATATCATAATTCTCTTTTTATCGATAGGTCATGCCTTACAAAAACTCTGTACCATAACACTATGAATTTACTGTATCAAACACGACTTTATTATAAAATTGAATGTCTCATTCCAAAAAGCCACATTCCTATTCTGTAATTCTCCATTAGCTAACATCTGTAACAAATGCTTTTTCCATTATTTTTCACTGGATACTTGCCAGCTACCTGGCCTTTAGATCCATTTGTCTTAAGGCTTCTCCACTTTAAATGCAGGAACCATGTTGGCACCTTGACATCTCTCTGCCATTCCTACAGTAATTAAAGAGTAATTAAAGCCAATCTCAGCAGGCTGGAGTTCGGCAGCATTGATTATGATTTCAAGTAAGGAAAAATTCTAAGAGATGGAAGTAAGCAGAAGAAAACTGTATCTTAGACAGTGTGAGCATAATGCTGTTTGGTAAGGTAGGCTGGGGAGTTGGAAGACTCAAGACACAAGTGATGTAGGGAGCGGGAGCAGCACAAAATAGTAGTACAGAGGTGATGAGCAAAAGGTGTTTACCAGGTGATAGGTAGTGTTGGTAGAAAAGTTAACACATGCTAAAATGCCAGTGGGGGAGAAGAAGCTGGACAAAAAAGCTGCAGGTTGGGAAAGCGTAGAAGAAGGACTGTGTACAGAAAGGGTCTGACATGAAAAAAAAGCTGAAATGCTAGAAAGTATAGTGCTGGGACACTGCATTTTTTGGAGTTATGAAGCCCCTGAGAATGAAAAACAAGCTGTGAATGTTTCCAGCAAAAGACCAGGTTAAGTGCAGGAAGGGATTATTACCAACAGCAAAATCCTGGGGATTGAAAACAGGTAGAAAAGCAAAAATGGCTACTAACCCCTAATTTCCTCTTTGCTACTCCTTTTCAGGATTAAAATGTGCACCTAGGAGGATATCGGGGCATTAGGAGAGGTGTGTATCTAGGGAAGGGTTAAAGAAGTAGTAGGAAAGGGGAGAAGAAAGGTCTTGCAGAGGGGTAGCCAGGCATTTAAAGGAGCATGAAGGACATTGTCTTAGGACCTGAAGGCAGTACAAGGGAAGAGATGTGTTTGGGCTGGCATGAGATAACCTCCAACACCATGAACATTCCCCAGCCATCATCCACAGCCACATGCTGGGATCTCCCCAGCCCATCCACCAGCCTGAAGCCACCCTCCAGGGGTCCTGGTGCGGGCACAGGCAGCATCCAGAGATGGCCCATGCCTTGGACAGCTTGTCCTGAGACAGCTGCAAGTTCTGACATGCTCCCTGCTTTCCAACAGCAAGTGGGTCCCAACAGGCATTTATTATGAGGGAAAACAAGCCACTTACAGAAACACAAAAGTACATATTTTGCTGTTTTGAGGCACGGCAAGTGCTGCAGTCTAAATAACTCCCTGGAGTTCCTGTGGCTAGGAAACAAGTAAATGCTTCACACGCAGTCATTTCCAAGAGAAAGATGTCTTCAAGCCACAAGGAAGCGTCGCTGGGCAGCACTGAGTCCTGAGGTGAGGGCCATCTGCTGGGGAAGGAGCTTGGTTCTGTGGCAGCAGGGACAGCGCAGCAGAGAAGTTGCTCTCTGGGTCACCACGGCCTCTCACGCCCAGGCCACCATGGTGCCCAAACCCTGAAGCCCCTTGCAGCCTCCGACCCTCCTTCCCTCCTTCCCGCCATGGGGAACAGGCCCTAGGACTGCCCTAGGACTTCACAGCAGCCTCCTCACCGTGCCCACCCTCCTGCCGCCAAGGGCAGCCGACGTAGTGCAGCACGGCACTGACAGGGCCGCGCTTGGCGGGATCCAGAGCCAGCAGGCTCCGCAGCATGCCGGCAGCCTCGGCCGTCAGGCGCCTCCAGTGCCGGGGCACGTCCTTCTCCAGGCCTGTCTCCTGCCACTGCATGAAGTCCTCAAAGAAAGGGTCCTCTGGCAGGCTCTGCTCCCAGGGGAAGTAGCCAGTGAGCAGGCAGAAAAGCAGCACCCCGAAGGCCCAGGCATCCATGCTGGTGTCGATGGGCACCCCCTGGGCATCAGCAGTGTTGCTCAGCTCGGGGGCAGTGTAGGGGATTACCCCAGCCACCAGCTTGAGCTTGGTGCCCCTGGGCCTCGTGAGGCCGAAGTCAGTGAGTTTGACGAGCCGGCAGTCGGGATCAAAAAGCAGCACGTTCTCGGGCTTGATGTCGCGATACACCAGCCCTCGGCTGTGGATGAACTCCAGTGCGCTCACCAGCTGCTTGGCACACTGCTTTGCGGCCGGCTCAGGGATCCCATCCTGGGCAGGGAGAGAGACAGGCGGGATGGCACACATGGGGCACCTCAGCAGCCCTGCCAGATGGGCTCTCACCTCAGTGCTCTGCACTGGAAAACACCTTCACATTTCTCACCTTGCAAGCCCAAGGCTGCTTAAGTGCTGCAGACCCCAGATAGATCCACAGCCATTGCCTTTATCTCCCTCCCTCTGACCCAGCCAGCCTCTAGAGGGACCAAATGCTACAGCCCAGTCCCCAAGGCCTTGTGGCAACACTCACACGGGGTTTGATGATAGAGATGAGGTCTTTGTGCAGCGCTGGTTCGTAGAGGAAGCCATAGTACTGGCTGGACTCAATGGCAATTCCAAACATGCCGATGATGGCAGGGTGGGTGGCGAGGGACAGTGCTACACAATACTCATACAGGAAGGTATGCAGCTTGGTACTGGCTTTCGGTAGCAGCTTGAGAGCCATAGGAGTCCCTGGGGATGGGAAGAGTGAGTTTGACTCCTCTGGAAGTCACAACAAGGCAAGACAAAGCAGCCACAGATCCAGGCAATCACAGCCACATGGAGGTCTCTATTCCAAAGCTTGTGTGGGTATACCCTGTGGACACCAGGTGTGGGAACAGGAACTGCTGCTGGTGTGAGTTTTGAGCTGTGGGCAGAGTAGGGACATTCAGGATAAATGGGCCTATCAGTCTGAGCTGGGACTACTGGGGAAGAGCAGTGTCAGGGCACTCATATGGCCAACCTAGGATGTTCATTCACACCCTCTGTCCACAAGCCTTAGGGCACCACTTCAGATCAGGCTTGGGGCTCTGTGACTGAGCCCTGTGGTGGGACTGCTGTTTCCATCTATACCACATGCATTTTGGTGCATATCTGTGAACTCTCCTGATCCTGGTTTATGGATTAACTTCCCAGCTTGACCTTGGACCTGTCTTATCACTATAACCTTGCCAGATAATCTGGGCTGCCCCCTGGCATCACCTAGTCCCTGGCTGGATGCCATGGGATGGTCCCTAGCTGGGGAGGTCCCCATCCTGCTGGTCTCCCTGGGGATCCTCCCTGCCGTGCCTGGTCTGTGTCCCCAGTGTGCCACCAGCCCACCCCATGCCCTGGTAAGTGGAGAGGAGAAAGGCACAGTAGTTCACAGGGCACAGTCAGCTCCTTACCTCTCTGCCTGTGGGTCACTAGCATCACGTGGCCATACTTGCCCCTGCCCAGCTCCCGAACAACTTCATAGTGCTCAGCCACCTCGGCACGCACCAGGCTCTGGGCGGTGATCTCCAGGAGCTCCTCCAGCTTGGTGGGTGCTGCTCTCTCTGGCACTGCTGCGGTCACGACTGAGCTCTCTGCCATCGCCGAGCGCTGCAGGAACACCACAGCCAGAGTAGGAACATCACAGCACGCTCAGAGAAAGTCAGATCAAACATGCAACACAAACCATGCCATGGCGTATTTCTGCCACTTGGAAGGCTCCTGAGCACTCTTGTTGCTGCGCTAGAATTGAATTTACACTTTTATACAGCACATCTCTGGGCAAAGCCCCTCATCATAGAAAGGTCTCTCTATTGAAGGGAACCTCCTCCAGCCCCCTAATCCTTTTGCCTAATATTAGACAACAGGCAAAACATTAGCAGAGTCCCAGATTTTCAAGTATGACCCAGTCACCCCTCGTTGCTCTCCTTAGCCTACTGCAGCAAGACCTCGTCTCTCTACTCAGTATTCCACCTCTAATGCTTACTGGAGAAAGTCCTTGAGTCAGCAGATGAGACAGATCTGTCCCTTAGGACATGTGACAAAAGGCAGAGTGCCCCAGGAAAGCCAAAGGGAGCTCAGTACCTCACATGCCTGATGACATTTCTGACCAAAAGTCATGCCTCTGTGCAGCCAAGTAACTTGTACAGGAAGTAACCTAGGACATGAATGGCATTTCGAGCTCTAGCCAGATGCTTCAGGCCCATTTCAGAGAAGTGTTTTTTCACTTTTCCCAGCCAGCCACAAGGCAGGATTTTAAGGCCTCTGGGGCAGCACTCTGCTCCCGTCTACTTCCCTGTGCTCTGAACAAGGTACTTTGGGCCTGGGAGTTCCTCCTGGCCTTGGAGCAAGGTCACAGAACCAGAATCACAGGATGGTAAATGCCAGAAGGTACTTCTGGAGACCTCTTACTGCAACATCCTGCTAAAAGGAGGGTTAACTAGAGCAGGTTGTCTGGTCCCCAGCCCAGTTTTAAATATCTACAAGGATGGAGATGCCACAGCTGGTCTGGGTAGCCTGTTTCAGTGTTTAATCACCTTTGTGGTAAAAAAGATTTTAACTTATGCTTAAAAAGAAATTCTGTTTCAGGCCCACTGCCTCTAGTTCTGCCACTCAGTATTAGATGATACTGTGATACACCTGGCTGTGTGTTTTTGCAGGTATTCATATGCATCAGATGATCCCCTCAAGCCTTCTGTTCTTGAGGCTGATGAAGTCCCAGCTCTGTTACCCTCTCCTCCAATGAGAGATACTCCCACATCTTAACTGTCTTCACAATCTGGATTTGTTCCAGTATGTCCACATTTCTCTTCTGCAAAGGAGCCGCACTGCTGCTAAATCCAGCCATTCTTCAAAATAAAGAAATTTGGGAAAAAAAAAATTATTTTAACCTGGGAAATCTGCAACAAGGCTGGATTTCTACAGGAGCCTGGGACTATTTGTGGGGAAGCTCCTCTTCTCTTCCCTTCCCGCTCTTCTTGACTGCATTTCTAAATTTTATCCAATTCAGAAGTGCCAAGTAATTGCCCCTACTTTTTTTGCAAGAGTAGAGCAATAAAGCGAATGAGCCACCTTGGAAGAACAGATCATCCAGAGGATATGGGTAGAGTTTCTTGAGGGCCTGTGACCTGTGGGTCTGATCAGGGCTCCTTATGAAGGAAGCCCCAGCTGCAGTCACTCCAGAACAGTTTGCAGACTTTGGCCCTTGCCGCCCTTGGAGTCACGAACTACAGGAGAAAGTCCATACTTGAGAAAATAGCTGACAATGTCAGGTCCTACTTTGAGATGCCACTGTGATTAGCTAGGAAGGTAAGTGAGCATCAAATTTGGGTCACTGCTGAGTAGAGTGTGTCTGGGTGCTCTGCAGCTACTTGTGATACCTTCTAAAGTGTCATTTTCCCTTTGCAGACTGACAAGCACTGAAGAGGAGGTCACCAGGGCCCCAACCAGCATGCATTCACCATTTGGCTGTGCTGTACTGAAGGCAGCAGGCAGAGTCCTATTCAAACCTGTTCTTTCCTTTCCATGCTTCATTCCTTCTAGAGCTCTTATTTCCAGGCTGCTGACTGTGAGAAACTGTATTTCCTTAAAAGAATCTCTAATTACAGCAGCAAAACCTCACATCCTTTACACCATCACAAGATACTTCTGAACCACCTGAGAAGCTGAGGGGGATCTAGCCTACAGAGATACAATGTCTTAGTCCAGGTAATGTTATTCTGGTTCTTCAACCAAAATGATTAATATTCTTAGTGCAGAAAAACACTTCATACATGACAAAAGCCAAAGACAGTATGATCCCTGTATAACAGAGACAGTGCTATAATAACAGAATCACAGAGGTGTTTAGGTTGGAAGGGACCTCTTGAGATCATCTAATCCATTAAAGTCACCTGCTCAAGCTGCAGCAACTGAAGCTGGTTGTCTAGGAAGGTGTTCAGCCAGGTCTTCAATATCTCCATAGATGGAGACTCCCATCAATGATCACTGGTTAGAAGAGTCTGGCTCCCTTTTCTTCATTACCCCTCATCAGATATTTATATACACCAGTAAGATCCCCTCTGAGCCTTCTCTTTTTCAAGCTGAAGAGTTTCAGCTGTTTCAGCCTCTTCTCATATCAAAGATACTCTATTAGAAATGGCCTTGAGCATATGACATGTGGGGTCCACTTTCTTGTCTGACCTTCTACAGGGCCTTAACACAAACCAAACAACAAATAGCATCTGGGGCATCTCTTTCAAAAAGTCATTCAGGCTTGATCCAAAGACAGTTGGTCAATTATAAATGCTGGTGTAAACATTCTTGCTGTTAGGTATTCATATAATAACCTTATCTGAATTTACCTAATCTGCTGCTGAAGTTTCTCAGATAGAGAAATGAGGTTTCTAATACCTGTTAAATTTCTCCAGACTCTTGCAGGGTTTATATGCACTGTGGTCAGAAGTATGACCAAAGGCTATGAGAACATATTTTCAATTAATTTGGTTGTGTAAAACTACCAGACTGAAGCTCAAGCAATGCATTGTACTGATGCTTACTTAGGCTTCATAAAGCATCTGTCACGTTGTGCTTCTGTAGTGCCTGCATCAGTTACTTAGAAAACAGATGTGACGCTGCCACAAAATGTGGTCACATTTTGAATTGAGAATAAGCATCTCTGTGCTCTCTGATCAAGACATCTCTCAGTTTTCTTATTGGTTCAATGTCTTCCAGTAACTTTCTGTCCACTTGTCAGACCAAGTTCTCAGATTCTCCAGTCTGCTTGTCCAGCTCTCAGATCTGTTTCATGGGTCTTTTCTAAAGTCTCATCATTTTCCTCCTCCCATCCCCCACATTAAAACCCCAATTGTCTTGGGGAGAATGCCTCCTGTCACACATTCAGCTAGAATTCCCCCCTGCCTCATGCTGTGGCCTCAAGATCTCTTTTTGCAGGAATGACACACAGGCCGCACTACCTTATACAGCCATTATGAGTCCAGAGTTTTTCCAAATTACTGGGGAATGTTGGGGGAAAAAAAACAAACTTCCTCTTCGTGCCCCTTTATGGGTGCTGCCTACCTGGTTTCTACCTGAATATTTTTGCACCATGTTTAGTAAAGCACATTTTGCTCAAATGGATTTAGCGCACCAAGTAATTCAGATCACTTCACCCAGTTGTTATCACACTTCTGCTTCAGGGCTGTGTAAGGAGCCCACCTGCAGGCACCTCCCACCAACCTCTAAATTGTTGGTTTGAAGCAGTTCTCATCCTGGTATTGGTTCACAGAGCAGCTGCCAGAAATGTCACATTCACTGGTCATTTCCTGAAAGTTATCTGTACAAATTCATCCTGGCATTGGTCTAAACTAAGAAGCAACACATTTTTAATTAATTATTTAAAAGCCCAGTATATAGTGGAAAATGCCATATTTTATTGTTGCTCTCACCCTACACAATTTTTTTCAATCCTAACTCTGTCATAATACTTTTATCTATGCCAATGATCTAGAAGGAAACACTGAAATCATCCAGAAAAATACTGCAAATGGCACAAAAAAGGGTATGGGTAGACAATGCGTTGCTTGGTAAAACTGCAACTGTGTACATGCATACACATACACAGATACAAAAGCATTCCAAATGACCAAAGAAGTCAGGATTTCAGTCTGGCATTGGATGGCTAACAGGGAAAAAAAAAAAACAGGAAAACAAGTCATACTAATCAGACACATCTAGTTTCTTCATGTTGCTTAATGGGCATTATGTAAATCCAGAAATGTAAATTTTTAATAGCCTCACTACCTTTGCACACCTTAACACACTGGATGATACAGAATTGCAGTAGAAATAATCTACAATGATATAGATACACATCTTAATGTTACATATACAAGTCTAAGATCAAAGGTTACTGATGTTACAGATTCCACTTTTGCATTCACTCTGCTAAAGAGAATGCTTGAAAAGATTCAGATGCAGTAAACATCAGCAGTGAGAGGCAAACTAACATTTTTCAGATGCTAATTTAAGAAAGTAAGCTTCACTGTAAACAAAAGAAAACAAACAAGAAAAAAAAAAGTAGAGACAGCTGTTCAGTTTCAGGCAGGCTGAGATGATTGTAACAAAAGAAGAGATCTGTTCTGAGGCGATGTGCCTCTTACAGTGAACTCCAGTTTCTGCAGAGGTTCCTGCATACAGATGCAATGAGACAGTCTGAAATTTAATCTCCAAAAATCAGCTGAGTTAGGGAAGCTGTATTTCTGAAGAGCTGGCCACCTGTTAACAGCTTCTGCACAATTGAGAATATCACACACCAGTGGAATTTGTATTTTTATAATAAATTTATTTTTCTGCTTGCTCTGCTTTGTATTCTTTTTTATCTACCTTTTTATGATGTTTCTTGAAATGTTAAAAATCCATTGATATGAAGAAAGCCTGGGTAAATTTCCTGAATTCTTCTGATAGATCAACAGAACCAGTTACTGGATGTTTTCTGTCTTTTTAATAATATCAGCGAGCCCACAGTTGAGCAAGCTACCTCTGGTGTCCCCAGTTTGACAGAAAAAGGACAAGAGACAATCATGACAACGGCAAGAGGGCTGAAAATCACAGGAGAAACTTCCAGGGGTGCT